GTCCAAGGCGCGGCCCACGCGCCGCTGGTCACCCGGGAACCTCACATTAGGGTGCGCCCGCGCCTTTGTCCCCCAACCCTCGAGCTTACGTGGACTCGATCTGGCTCACTGGATGGATAAATCCCGCGGCCACCCCTCGCCCTCCGGAGCGGGAACAAATGTGCGTCCACCGGACGCCAGCGCGGGGACCGCCGGAAGGAGCACTCCAGGCCCGAATCTGACTCCCTGCGCCGCCCAATCTGGTTTCCTAACCCGGGGGTAGGGAGCTGAAGGGTCCACAGAGGAAAGTGAGGCCTTGCCTTGCACAGGCTGGAGGACAGGCAGGTAGAGGTCCAGGCAGCGCTGGGAGGGAATGTGCGTTTCTGGGAACAGCTGCGGTACAAACCTCCCTTGTCCCCACCCCAGCCAGCAGCCTATATGGTCACTGCCCAGAGGCCCACCTGCCAGGCTATGCCAGGGTGTTCAGAACTCCTCCATGTCCCCGGAGAGCGGGCTCCCAGGATTATGTCTTCTCAGTCCAGGTGCCAGCAGGCGGCAGGGTGGGCGAGGCCCTAGGCTGCTTTCAGTGCATCCCCTTCCCTTGCTCCGGGAATCCGGTTGCTGACCTGGGAGCTTTAGAAAGCTCAATCCCTCTCAAGAATGGGCAGATTCCATATTCCTGCAGAATCCCTAAGGTTTATTGGAGACCAAGCCTCTCTCTGGATCCACAACCATAGCCTGCTCAGAATCAGACCCCCAAATGTGCTTGGATCCCATCCCCTTCATCCTGGTCTAGGCGGGTCCTCACACTCCACCAGAGGACGAGTGCCCAGATTCTGCCCCAGAGGAGTCACCCTGCAGCAAGCCCCCTTTGGGAGGAAGGAGAGTCTATCTCTAGGGAAGGAGGCCCCAGGAGGTGAGGTGGTAACCAGGGCAGAAGCCCAGCCCAGCAGTCTCCAAACATCACTCCCACTGCAGGCGCTGTGTGTGCAAGGCCCGGTGGTAGGCCCAACTGCCCGCGGCCAGGACCCAGCGACAGATGTCCTCCTTCGGCAGCAACAGCAGCCTGTCCTCCTCCAGCCGGCCCAGGAGGCCTGCAGCACCCAGCATCAAGCCCCCCCACATGCCGTAAGTGTTGGTCGTGAAAACAGCCACAATGAGAATAGTAACTGCCACCACCAGCACCACTGCCTGACCAGCCACAGAGCGGCCCTCCGCACCAAGGTGGTCACCAGCCACTGCCAGCACCATGCCTCCTCCCAGGAGCAGGTTTGCAGAGGAGCGGTCCCCATTCACCCAGTGGAAATCGAAGGCCAGAAGGGGCAGGCCAATGACAGTGGCCACCCAGGCTCCAGCAAGACAATCTTCATCTGTGCCTAGCCCTGGAGCCAGCATGGTGGCAGCAGCCAAGGCCTGGAGCAGGAAGCCAGCAGCAGCCCCTCGACTTGCCTGTCAACACAGGGAGGGGAGATGTGGGGAAAAGAGGCCAGGACCTTCCTTTAAACAGGGGAGGGCCTAAGGGGGCCTCATGAAAGCCTGGACTCCAGACTCACCTCTCACCACCCTCTCCCTGACCCAAGGAACTGGCTAGGTCCCTGGGGTTCGGGAATGGGAGACTCCCTTACCCAGCCCCTGTGTACTCACCTGGGCAGTGCTCAGGGCTGCATGCAGAGACACCACTCCCAGCGCCAGGTGGGACAGGGCCATGCTCCACTCACCCCATGGCTTGGGTGCCATGGCACCTCGGGCGGCAGTGACTTTGAGGAGACACTTTGGAAAGTTAAGAAGGAACGCACAAGCCGGCGCCCTGGAGCCCTGAGGGCAGCTCTCGAGGACTCCGTTTCCAGAGCCCCATTTCTACATGTTGGGAGAAGCTCACCCGAACGTTTCTGGAGCTCCGAGGCCACTGGACACCACTGGAAAGAAAAACCTATTTTGGCCGGAAAAAGAAAAAAGAAAACGGAGGGGGGCCTGGATTGGGCCGGTGTGAGCCCTGGAACCCGAATGGAGGCGCCGGGCCTGGAGGAGAGCCGCTCGGGACGAGCGCAGGCCCACGGCCTGGACCCTGCGGTTGGGGAGAAGGAGTC